AGACTCCTTAAGGTAATCTTAGGGTCGGAGAAACAACGTAATCTTCTGTTAAGTAACGCTCGAAGTCACGACAACTCTGACATTCGAATTAGACCGGATGTGTCTCTTGAAGATAGAATAAAAAGGAAGACGGCACTAGCTGAACTAGAAACCCGTCGACAAAACGGTGAAGAAAATCTCCGATTGGTGGGTTTTCGAATAGTCAGGTCTTGGAAGCGAATGCTACCAAGGCCTGTGTGGATAGGTCGTTTCCCCTAGGAGTTTTATATGCCAATGCCCGTAGTCTAAAACATAAATTCTACGAGCTAGGAACATTAGTGGACAAATTAAGGCCACTCATTGTAGCTGTGACGGAAACTTGGTTAGTCCATGACTTCGATATCACCCCAGAATTATCCGAATATCATTGTTTAAGAAGTGATAGACATAGATGCAGGAAAGGAGGTGGCGTCCCTCTATACATAGCCAATAGTATAAATATCCGCTCCTCCGTTTGCTAATCCCATGATAGTGGAACTAGTGAAGTCATTAGCTGTGAACTCACTGTCGGATGTTGTACATTTGCACTCGGTGTCATCTATCGCAGCCCAATCTGCTTAGCTGATGACTTTATTTTAGAGCACATTCGGCTATGGAGTGCAAATAACAGATGCTTGATATTAGGAGACTTTAATGCACCTGACATTAGTTGGACTGAGATGACCACGAAATGCTCTATAAACTCATTTGATAGCAGGCTCTTGGAAACAGTAATGAAACATGCATTAGTACAACATGTGTCCAAACCTACACGTTTTGGTGTAAACCAAGGTTCTTCTCTGTTGGACTTGGTAATTACCCATGAGACTGAGGATATTGCCAACCTAAATATTCTTCCCCCGTTAGTAAATAGCGATCACGCTGTTTTATCATTCACGTTTGGAGCTAGCGATATGATATACGATCAGATTAAGCTTCGCCCAAACATATGGAGAGCTAACATACCAGCCATTCAGGATTGTGCTACTAAGATAGATTGGTCAGTAGATACTAGCTCATCAGTTGACGAGGCGTGGTCTGTATTTAAAGGCAAGTTTAGTGCAGTCACGTCATCGTTCATACCATACTTGGTGCCACGTAGACCGAACAATAATCCACCGTGGATAAATAAAGAAGTTAAGAAACTTCCTAGGCGTAGAAAAAAACACTGGAACGTGTTCATCTCTACTGGCTTAGAACAGTACAGATCTAGTTACTGTAAGATTAGAAATAATTGTAAAGCGTTAATTAGTAGGACTAGACGGTCATACGGAAAACAATTGGTTAGGGATTGCAAACATAGTCCAAAACGGTTATTCTCGTATATAAAGAGGCGAACTCAGAGAAGTGATGGAATACCATCACTTTTGATACAAGAAAATCCGTTAAGTTTGGCAAGAAATGATGCTGGGGTATTTCAGTAAAGTTTTTTCTACCAATAATGAGGAACGATCACCTATTCATTGTGATTGTGGCGACTTGTTGATGGGCCCTGTAGTTATTAAGAAACTGTTTTAAGCCTACTTCAGCATCTCAAACCTGATAAGTCTAGTAGTCCTGATGATATTCATCCTCGGATTATGAAAGCCCTCTCAGATGTTATTGCTGAACCCTTAGCGATACTGTTTGATATGTCCCTACGGCAGTCCAGATTGTCCAGAGATTGGAAAGACGCAATAATCAGTCCGGTGTATAAGGCTGGGAGTAGGGATTTAGTTAGTAACTGTCGACCCGTCAGCTTAACTAATGCAGTTGTAAAACTAATGGAAAAAATTGTTAGGATGGCTGTTATAAACTACGTGGAAAGACATGATCTTTTGTCAAAGGAACAACATGGTTTTCGAAAAGGTCTATCATGTTTGACAAATCTTCTCATTGCAAGAGAAGATTGGGCTGAGGCAAAAGATTGCAATATTCCTGTAGATGTCATTTTCATAGATCTAAGTAAAGCCTTTGATAAGGTTTCCCATTCTGGTCTTAAATTAAAACCAGAAAGTTTTGGAATTCATTATGCAGTCATAGACTGGATAAGTGACTTTCTTCATGAAAGGAGACAAAGGGTAAGAGTAAATGGGGCTCTCTCATCGTGGGAACCAGTAAGAAGTGGCGTCCCCCAAGGCACGATTTTAGGACCTCTTCTCTTTTTACTTTATATAAATGAATTACCAGCTATAGTTAAGTCATCCGTCCTACTATTCGCCGATGACATTAAGATTTGGAGACCCATATATATTATATCAGACAGAATATTTCTACAGGAAGATCTTAACTCATTAGTGGCATGGATGAATGGGTGGTCACTAGAAGTAAACCCTAATAAAAGTGTTGTGATGCAATTAAATAACTACGATGATTCGTATCACTACACAATATGTGGACTAGTGTTGCCCAAAGTAAGAAACTATAAAGATTTAGGAGTCATACTAAGTAATGATCTCAAAACAACCAATCACTGTAAGGCTGCTGCTGCAAAAGGCTATAGGGTATTATGGTCTATTCGTAGATCTTTCCGGTATCTGGATGGGGAAATGTTTAGATTATTATACCCAACTTTCGTACGGCCACATTTGGAATATGGGATTCAAGCAGCAAGTCCTTGTTTCAAATATGAGGCGGATATGTTGGAACGAGTCCAATGCCGCGGTACAAAAATGGTAAAAGGCCTATCTCATGAAGACAGACTGAGACACCTCAACTTATTTCCGTTATCCTACCGGCGAATACGGGGTGATCTAATATTGGCATATCGTATCCTGAACGATGACCTTGGTACTAACATGTCCTATCTTTTCCTCCCGTCTAGGGCTGATAATTTGAGAGGACATTCAAAGAAAGTTCAAGAACCGAGATCAAATAGTCTACGTCTGGAGTTTCGTTTCTCGCACCGAGTAGTGAATTACTGGAATTCTCTATCAGAACACGTAATATCAGCACCTTCTGTTGATATATTCAAGACGAGATTGGACCTCCACAGTGTAACAAACTGCAAGGATTAAAATAGGTCACTAGACCTCCTATCCTTATTACTGAAGATCATTGATCCCTGTCAAAGTCAAGGTTAGTCAACGCGCATCAATCAATCGTATGCCATGGACTGGCTCACGCGGCAGTGGGTGTTCTTTCACCTCTGTACTTTAGTGGTTGTATCTTAACTAATATATTCTTGTAATAACGTCCTTTGTGTTGTACAGTCTCCATAGCGTCCATGATCCTTTGATGCGTCGATGGTTCAAACCACGTAAGGGCCGGTCGCGAGGTGTGACTTCAGCGTTAGTTGGTTCGTCTAACTATAGTAGGCCCCCAATCATTTCGACATAGAACATCAACGTTGATGTTCTACAAGTGATATGAGTATTGTAAGGACATATCCACTATAAAAAAGGGAAACTTACACAACCGGAGTACACATAAACATTATTGAGGCTATGTGGTCGTGGCTGAGAGGGTTCTTGTGACCTTATCACGGCTACAGAAACCGACTATTATGGAGCCATATGGGCGAGTTCTACCTTATGCATTACGATTTCAGAACCTTTGAACGTCTTTCTAAGCTTGACAAGTTTTTGGACCATGTGAAAGTGTATCCATTTTAATTCTTTGGTTTTGTATATATTTTTACTCTATACTGACTGTTTACTGATTGGCTAATATTTCTCAAGATTCGTTCAAAGGTCGTCCATAAATTGAAGTCTCGCCGAACTCTAAAAAACAAACCGACTTTTTAAACAACAAGCTTACAAATTCCCTTTTGAAGAATCGCTTTGAAATACATAGTGTTATCGAACACGTAATTCATTGTGTGATATTAAAAGTGCCCAACATAAAGTATCAAACAACCACATTATTTCCAACCGATACTAAAGATAATGTACCAACACGATTATTGAGTGAAGGTGATTTGACCAATTCATGCTTCGTCAGTGGTTTAAGATCACTTACTTACTTAAGATAACTGGCAATAAACCTAAATGGGTTTAGCTTAAACTTTATAACTGTATGTTGATACTAACAATTGCATTTTAGCTTCTAACGGCCGCCAAATGCCCTGAAACGGCCTAGAGAGGGGAGAATTCGCTCTCCCTCTCGAAATGCTCTCATATGGCCACGCGTATATAGCTTCTGCCAGGGAAGTCCTACTCACTGCCTTCTCGTGGCATTACTGTTGTTTACGAAAGTGAGAGGACGAAAAGCGAATGTTCGGGGCTTTAACCAGGTTGATGGATATAGAGGATCCACCTAGGGGAATTGGAAAACCCTGATTCCAAACCAATGGTGTACATGGGCTCCAGTATCCTGAAGGAACGAATGGCGTATGAACCAACTGTTGGTCACCTGCTACCATGGGACTGCATCTCCTTACGATGCTCCACGGCCTTGTGGACTAGACCTTTAGGTCAAAGGCTCCGGGTGTGGTCCCCTGAGAAAACCACCTGCTTCAGTTTGAGCACCTGGGCAGTATAACAGTCCTCACACAAATCGAATGAGATTTGTGAGGCGCATATATATCTGGTGCCCTATTGTACCGATATTTGTGTTTAAATAAATAAATAACAACATTTGGTGCATTACCGATTATCATCAACTACAAGTTAGTTAGGTACTAATGGAAATATGAACAATTGAACTGACACAATGCATTCCCCCCAAAAATACTCGCGAGCCATTTATTATAGATGGGAGATGTGGAAATGGGAAGGTTTGGAAAATACTTCACGATGAACTAGTTTATATGTTTTCAAAGGTATTTGTATTAAAACTGACCTACAACATTTTGACGTTGTTCTAATTGAAAGCGCCTATTTGAACTACTAGCTAATGACATATCTTTTCCTGATCTTAGGTTACAGTGGATTAAGCACCAACCTACTACACAATTTTGTAATAAAGATATCTTAGTTTTGCATATATTATGACTTATTATTTATGTTGAGGCATGATCCCATATTTTGTGCGCATAATTTCAAAGTCTAAATCATACAGATATACTGGTGTCTTTTAACAAGGGTTCTAATAGCTAGTTAGGGGAACAGATTAAAATATCGCGTAGGCAACTTATCGTTTTGACAAAAAAATATAATCTCACCCGAATATCTAATATTTTGGAGACAAAAATTGAAACTCTATTGCTTTTATTTCAAAAATTTAGAACTCCAGTACATTTTTATTAGATCCCAATTGAGTGAAAATAAAGGAATGAGTCGACGAAAAAGTGCCGTATTTAATACCAACATGTGTTATTCACCAGGAAACTATCCGCCGGTTAAAATAACTAAGTAGGAGTTTCATCAAGTTTGTAGGACAAATTCGACTCAAATAAGATGGTCAATTAGTACAAATTAGTTTAATGACTGACTCACCAAATATACAAAGTGAGTTGGTATGTAGGTTACATATAAAAAATTACTACAATAATGAATGATCTAGGCCCAACATATATCATCACAAATGTTTATCAGTAGTGTATAAGAAAATAAGTAAAATGCGCTATAATAACTCTGTACAAAAAAATAATATATAGTTATTATGAGAAAATTGAGAATCCCCACAAATATTTAATGCCCAGTCATCCAGGATTACCGATTCTTGTATTTAAATCATCTTCATAAAACTGTAAACGGGAAAAAACATTTTGGATGTTTAACGTGTCAAATAATTATTTATGAACAAATTAGCGTGGATTAAGATACTTCGATTTTCATCACACTTATTCGTGAGTTTTGTGATGTGATGATTTAACTTAGGATGTGCTTGCTTACAGACCATATGGTTCGTGTTGAGGTTAGTGATCTTAAAAGTAATTGGAAGGAATCTTTGGAGTGGTTGGCACTCTTCAATCAGAAGTAACTTTATGAGGGAACTGATGACTCAGATGTTACTCAATAACTCCAGAGGCGAAACAACTGAACTACTTAGACCAAAACCGATTGTTTGTACGTCTGAGAGTCCCCTACTGATCATTTTGTGAGTAGTGACCAATATCAACTGCCTACAGCGAAGAGGAGTAAGAAGCCTTGAATAGCTAGCTGAAACCCAAACCCTCCCTAACCAATACGATTTTCTCACAAAAAATGTCCTAAGGAAATATTGTGATAAGGCATAAACAGTAATTTGTTAGCAGCCACCAGCATAGTCTGGATTAGTGCACAGATATTGGAGAATGTGCCATGGCCAATCAAAGAATCTATAATAACTGTAGAGCAATTTAAAATTAGGGTGATATATTATAATAAGCCAAACAAACTCATTTATCGCTAGTGAAGTGGAAGTTGAGGACTGTTAGCTTAGTGGATGATATTATCGAGGTGATACTTTAATGATGAAAACAATCATGATGGCCTTAAGTGACGATTTACAGAAAACAACGAAAGAACTAAGATATTATGAGATTCAGAACATCAAGTTAAGGGACTACGCTTTTTTAATTGAAATCTTAACACAGACTGAAGAAAATATAAGACGATTTCCAAGATATATTTCGCTTGTATTTCTGTTTATTTATCTTAGAGTATGGCTCATTCTGCACAAGCAGTCAAACTGTGGGGACGAAAGCAATCAAAACGATCAACAGTTACCTATAATCACATAAGAAGAAGCGACATAAATTCATTTTCCTACTTTGTTTCTTCATAACCGTGGAAACGTATTACATTATCTATTACTATTTGATGATAAATCGAAGACCTCAAAAATTAAGAAACTGGAACCCATGAGTTTGTTTATATTCAAATATGAAATCAATAATACTGATAAAACCACCCGAGCTTTATGAAGTAGTTTGTAACGAACTGCAACAGTTGAAAATGTCAATTGACTTTGGTTACTAACTACAAAAAGAATAACAAAGGCATTTTAGGCGCTCTATGAATACTGAAGGTCTATGCTTCTCGAAACCGACTCCAATGCTTAAACATTTAGAATAATGTTTACAGAAGACCTACTCACTGAATTTTTTGGCAGGTTAATCAGTCAGTCAAGTGCAACTTCCCGACCGTAGCTGCTAACTAGACGTGGTGGTCGGGTTCACCTGTCGTGATGAAACCAATAGGATTATACTGGCTGAAACATTTGTTCCTCGAGGTTCTACCTCGCAAAGCAGACCGGTAAAACTAAAAGCAGCAAACCCAAGGTAATTCCATCTGACAACCAGCATAACAGCGATGCTGCCTTCCGATAAGGAAGAGTGGGATTAGAAAACGTCGACCCTGAAAATGCACACCTCGCCTTATTACACGGATTTCCGTCTCCGGCTGTAAGGTTCCAACAAGTACGGAGCTAACACGGAAGCTACTCACAAAAAGATCGTGTGTGGCCGGCCTTAGGCAGTTGTCCCTTGGGCACTGCTGTCGCGCTCTCAGATCACTAAGACCACCTCTAACCCAATATTATTTCGGGTACCTTTAGAAGAATCTCTCCACGGTGTGGGCAACCGGGAAACGATAACTGCCCATATAACTCTAACAGCACTCAAGACCACTGTATTCATAATCAATTTCCCTCTTTAATTCCTACTATTTCTTCTACCTCGACTTTCAACTCTAAAATTCCTCCTTGAGTGTTGCTACAGCATCTAAAACACTAGCCTCAATAATTATCAGACGCTTAACAAAGACTCATGAACTGCAAACACCGGAAGATCAGGCTGGCTTCAGACCTGGTCGTGGCTGCATCGATTACATATTCACCATTTGTCAGGTTCTAGAACACAGACATACTTATCGACTTCCAAGATAAATGAAGTTGTCGACGCGTTTGATTACTTCACTCCTTATCCTTAGTTCAGGTGTTGACGCAGGTCAGTATTGGAGCAACAACTTTCATTTAGAGGGGGGGAACGCATCCTAAACATCCTAGTATTATTGCTCAGTACTACCAAAAGACTCTACATCTTATCAGCGTCTTCACCAAACAGGACTATGTCATCTGCATATTCTAAGTCAATAAGTGGGCCTCCTGGCAGGAGATCAATGTCCGAAAATTCAGTCGACGAGAACGTTATTTCCAGCAGTGGGTCCATGATGAAGTTGAACAGAAATGGAAATAGTGGACAGTCTTACCGGACACCACTTGAGGTCGCGAAATCAAGTGACAGTTCACCATAAGCTCTGACTCGGCTATTAGTGTTCGAGTGAAGAGCGCTCACAAGGTTTATATATTTCTGAGGTACACCTTTCAATGACAGACACTGCCACAGAACCTCTCGGTCTACAGAGTCAAATGCTGCCTTCAAGTCAAGAACTATCATTGTCGGACACCGATAAGTATGTCTGTGTTCTAGAACCTGACAAATGGTGAATATGTAATCGATGCAGCCACGACCAGGTCTGAAGCCAGCCTGATCTTCCGGTGTTTGCAGTTCATGAGTCTTTGTTAAGCGTCTGATAATTATTGAGGCTAGTGTTTTAGATGCTGTAGCAACACTCAAGGAGGAATTTTAGAGTTGAAAGTCGAGGTAGAAGAAATAGTAGGAATTAAAGAGGGAAATTGATTATGAATACAGTGGTCTTGAGTGCTGTTAGAGTTATATGGGCAGTTATCGTTTCCCGGTTGCCCACACCGTGGAGAGATTCTTCTAAAGGTACCCGAAATAATATTGGGTTAGAGGTGGTCTTAGTGATCTGAGAGCGCGACAGCAGTGCCCAAGGGACAACTGCCTAAGGCCGGCCACACACGATCTTTTTGTGAGTAGCTTCCGTGTTAGCTCCGTACTTGTTGGAACCTTACAGCCGGAGACGGAAATCCGTGTAATAAGGCGAGGTGTGCATTTTCAGGGTCGACGTTTTCTAATCCCACTCTTCCTTATCGGAAGGCAGCATCGCGAGGTGGAATCGAGTGAATGACCACACTAGTATTCTGGAAGGGAAAGCAGAAGGCAGATTAGGTTGGGGAATCCTGGTCAGTGACCTGTCTTCTACGAGCTGTAACAGGCGTAAGTAAGTACATGCAAATATAGACTTCTATTTCATTTCAGGTTATGCGCAATGAAGGAACGACCGATCAGGAAGAAATACGACAGTTTGGTTGAATAGGACTATCTTTTATAACTATTTTTCTTTGGCTTTACTTTAGGTGATAATAAACTTTGAGTGCAATGCGATAATGTAATGGAGAATTTATACCTACACAAATACATCATGACATTCAGTTCGCGGATGGCACCGTTTTACTATGCGATGAAATACGGGTTAACCAAGCAGCAATACATCAGTTGCTGATCAGTGTTCGAAAGTATGGTGTTTATCTTAACTGAAATGCACAGTACTCCCAAAAGAATAATAGGATTCCTAGCTTTCACGCACTTTGGTGGTGAACCATTGGAAACGGTCTAGAAGTCCGTATGGCACAGATGCTTTACGTATGTCACTTCAGAGGTTGGGGGGTTGAAATACAGAAACTATCAGTTAATGACGACGTAGAGAACTATTCGCTGTAGGTTAGCATTTTTCAGGTAATTGAGGTTCTATAGGTGGGATACCAAAGACAGTGAATAACAGTTGTTATATATATTGACACAAGGTTTAGGGAAGTCAGTGGTACTCCTGCTGTAGTTCTTTTTTGTTTTTTTTATAAAGAAAAAACACTTTAGGGATCAGTTCAACTGGCCTTCAGCCACAATTCGGTTTCCCTTGATCCTCAGTCGACCTGAATGGCAAGTTGATGTAATTCCACCAACCTTTCACACGGTTGAAAAAGCTATAGGAAATCTGACGCGAGTGAGAGCAGCAGGCCCTGACAGGCTTACCACTGAGATTCTTAAGGATGGCGTTCCAGTACTATCAGCGAGATTGACTGAGGTCTTCGGTATAATCTGGGATCTAGACGTAATTCCATCTGAATGGTCCCAATCACTGATTGTGCCAGTCTATAAGAAAGGACAAAAGTCTTCTTGTGACAATCACAGAGGAATCAGTTTAACTAATATAGTGTCTAAAATATTAGCTTTATTAATACTTCGACGCCTAACCAAACCTCGTGAAGAGAAGACTAAAGAAAACCTGGCTGGTTTTCGGCCTGGGCCAGATAATCACTTTACATCACGTCCTCGAACACAGACACATAGAACATAGACTCCGTTGATCGTGAGGTCCTAATGCGGTGTTTGTAACTGAAAGGAGTACCAAAGAAGTATATTAACCTTATAAAGCCTCTCTACTCGAACACAACTGGTCGAGTTAGAGCTTATAACGAACTTTCATCAAAAATGATTACCTCAAGTGGTGTACGCCAGGGCTGTTCACTCTCTCCATTCTTGTCTAACTTTATCGTAGACGTCATTTTAGAGATAACACTTCTCTCATCTAAATTTCCAGGAGTCGAACTTTTACCGGGAGACTTACTTGTTGACTTAGAATGTTACTTCAGGATTGGGTTGCATTGGCACCTGAACTAATGATAGGGAGTGAAGTAGTTGAGCGTGTTGACCGCTTCACTTATCTTGGGAGTCTGATCAGCCCATGTGGTCTGGTGTGTGACGAAATCTCAGCACGGATACAGAAGGCACGACTAGCTTTCGTCAACTTGCGTCATTTATGGCGTAGGCGAGTTCACTTGGCAGCAGTTCGTCCCGTCCTACTTTATGGCAGTGAAACCCTAATCTTTCGGATTACTGCTTATACTCTGACCACCTCTACCACTATGGGATTTGAATCGACAACTGCATCTCCGTGCTAATGTGGTATGGCAACTCGAACTGATGTACGTACGTACGAAAATCTACGTTGTGACTGACTGACTTTTTTTAAACACCGACGTTTAATCTAAAATGTTTTCTTGACCCTCAAATGCCCTGGTACGGCCGAGAGTGGGGAGAGTCTGCTCTCCCTCTCGAAATGCTCTCATATGGCCACGCGAATATATAGCCTCTGCCAGGGAAGTCCTACTCACTGCCTTCTCGTGGCATTACTGTTGTTTACGAAAGTGAGAGGACGAAAAGCGAATGTTCGGGGCTTTAACCAGGTTGATGGATATAGAGGATCCACCTAGGGGAATTGGAAAACCCTGATTCCAAACCAATGGTGTACATGGGCTCCAGTATCCTGAAGGAACGAATGGCGTATGAACCAACTGTTGGTCACCTGCTACCATGGGACTGCATCTCCTTACGATGCTCCACGGCCTTGTGGACTAGACCTTTAGGTCAAAGGCTCCGGGTGTGGTCCCCTAAGAAAACCACCTGCTTCAGTCTGGGCACCTGGGCAGTATAACAGCCCTCACACAAATCGAATGAGATTTGTGAGGCGCATATTTATCTGGTGCTTCCTTGTTCCAATATTTATGTGTTTAAACAAATAAATAAATAAGTTATCTTGGTTGCTCGTACTTGCATTTTACACTATAATGTCTACATAATTGCATTAACCAAACCTTTAAGTATTAATTAACTCCTCTAAATGATTGCCAAACTGTATAGTATGTTTCTTGATGCTCTTCCGTACCAAGCACGTGTTACAATCGAATAATGTAAACAATAATCAAATACACCTGATAATATACTCATACTAATAATAAACGTTCCACAATAAATAAAGTTATAACGCAAATTACTGTTTTTTCTTACCTGTAATGATCTTATCAGAATACATTCGCCATGTCTACAAAACTGTCTGGGCTCAGAAGAATCGCGGTTATCCTTCTGATTGAGTGAAAGATCACTCTTCAAATCTGTTCGTTCTTGATATGAACAAGGAGTGACTGAAGCCAAAAACGGAGGAAAGTTATTTGTTAATGTCAATTTGGACTCCAGCTCTATGATATTTTTTATACAAGGAACCATCTTTGGAAACCAAAAGTTTGTCGAATTATCACTAGCTGTATTGAATAAAGTAGGTATTGGAGAGAAAAAGTCAGGTTGACCAATAGGTTGATCTGACTGTTCATTCGAAACGTACCCCGATAGCTGATCTGATACAAATGGCTTATATTTTTTACATTGCTTCTTATGTTTTTTACCTAAAAAATGAGAATCCAGTTGCTCTTTAGAAGAGCAACTAAGACCACAAGGTATGCAAAAGTAAGGAACGTTATTGCTTTTATTGAACTGTTGCTCAACTCCCAACTGTTCAGGTATAGAATTGTCAGAAGAAATTGTATTTCGCATATGCTTTGATCCACTACAATGTAGGGCATATTGTTCAGAAGAATTAAGGCTTGTATTGCACTCGTTACAGAAATAGGTATCTATACCAACAATAATTATTATTAATGTGAAGTGAGGAGCTTACTGGCATTGCAGTTTTTTCTATGGTGTGATCCAGATATATGCTGGGAGAATGGCGCCTTGCCAGTGCATTTCACATTGCACACACTACAAATATAAACTTCACCGAACTGAGTGTGTTCTATTCTGCATATATCGGCGATTTTGTTGGAAAGTGTGTCAGTAAACGGTGAGATTTGTAGAGCGTCCATTGAAGAAGTGCATATACGTTCAGGTACTTCGGGAACAGTACATGAAGTAATCCTTTGGGTCATATTGAATCCTTCTAGAGATAAAAGAAATTGATCTAAAGTACGTTATATCTACCAACAACACAACCTTTATATGCATATGTGCGACTCTCGATTAAAAGGTACTAAATTGCTAATTTTGTAGAATTAGCTGTCATTAATTATTCCTTTCATTCGAGGACGAGTAATGTGTGCTTACTCAGCTGAGGAACAAAAGATGAAATGACTGTCACAAGACGAGTACCTAACGTTGTAAACAACCGATGTACCAGAGTAATTTTTTCTGTGAATCTACAGTTGTACTACTCTAAATATTATCGCGCATTTTAACAGTTGCAAAGCAACTACTTAGTGTTTGTAAAACTGACGGCTTTAGACCATATACTCAGCCAGTATCAGGCTAATTAACTGAAAAATTTACTTGTTAGCAATAATTAGCATCATCGAATGGTGTATACGAAACAACCTTCGCATCAAAACATCGGGATTAATCGGCAAACACAGAAATACGGATTCTAACACCAGGAGTGTGAATATTTAGAAATAGATGTCGGAATACTTACGTACGAGTTGTGAAATTCGATGCAAATAGCGAAATCCTGGGAATTCGAAAATATTTTTGGTCGATCTGAAAATGTTTCTACGACCTACTTAGTGTGTGACCAAATCCATTACAGCATCAAAGAGTTTCTTTACAATAAAACTAATTTACGCACACAAATCGAGTTGCTTTTATGAGAATATACACACCATATTATTATGCTAAAACTATAAATGCCAAACCGAAAGGAAGACATATAGCACCCCAGACAACCGAACTAGGTGAAAGAAGTTGCAAATATATTTTGGTGTTTATGAAGTATGGTAGGTTTGGTTACGTGGTGTCATGAAGTGAAGGTAATCTGAGTGAGCCTGAACTACAAGAGGACGCAAAAACGCGTTGACCGTATGAGAAGAAAGAGATCGCGAGGTATACACGAAATATGAAATTGGAGAGATCACATTAATCATCGGTCGTAAAGGTAAGGCTGAACTGAAGTGGTGAGTTTTATTTCACAGTGGTGATGGTGGTAGTAGTGACAAGGTGCGAGACGTAAATTACAGCTGTTCTATTTCCACCTGGAGGCGGACAGCAAGCCATGAGTCTGTACGTGACGTTTTAGAACAGGTTACTCTTGTCTCACAAACTTATTAGTCGCTCGTGAAAGCTGGTGCGCTCCTAAGGACCAAAAATTACCTATAGACGTAGCTTACATCGATTTCAGCAAAGCTTTCGACAAAGTTCCGCATAACCGGCTGTTATATAAGCTAAGGAATGTCGGGATTGGAGGCAATCTATTGATGTGGATAAAAGACTTCCTAGTTGGGCGTCAACAAAGAGTAAGGGTGAACTCCAAGTTGTCTAGCTGGGAAACTGTGCTTAGTGGAGTCCCCCAGGGTACAGTTTTGGGGCCAGTGTTATTCCTCCTGTACGTAAATGATCTCCCTCGTCTACTATCGTCATCGGTCTTACTCTATGCAGATGATGTCAAGATATGGAGAGCGATACAAAGCAAGGGCGATAGCTTAGAACTTCAAAATGACCTGGAGAGATTATCTGAATGGTCCCAAACCTGGCAATTGCCGATAAACACTTCCAAGTGTATTGTGGTGCATATTGGCCATCAGGGTACAGATACATACACGATGAATAACACTGAGTTACCTATTGTTCAGGCACACAACGACTTAGGCGTCATCGTCAGTCAAGACTTAAAGACTGCTGCACACTGCCATGCAATAGCCGCCAAAGGTTTTAAAACTTTATGGTCCATACGCAGGGCTTTTAGGCATCTCGACGCTAAAACGTTTTTGACTTTGTATACAGTGTTCGTACGCCCTAAACTTGAGTACTGTATACAAGCAGCTAACCCCTGCCTAAAAAAAGACAGTGAACTCTTGAAAAGGGTTCAGAGAACAGCAACTAGGCTGATTCCCGGAATAGCGAAGCTCCCGTATGGTACTAGACTGACCAAGCTAAACCTATTCCCGCTGTCATATAGAAGAATCAGAGGTGACTTGATTATAGTTTTCAAATTGCTAAATGACAAATTTGCACCTGATATGCCCTCATTTTTCTTGTCTTCCAAAACAGAAAATCTACGAGGACACTCCAAAAAAGTTCACAAGCCCAGAACGAATTACTTGTCAGCTGACTACCGACTTTCCCATCGAATAATCAACGAGTGGAATTCATTACCTCAGCACGTGGTTGAGGCTCCATCCGTCGACTCCTTCAAAAGAAAGTTGGATCAGCTGAGAGACCATCATTGCCAGGACTAACACAGGCCATCAAGCCTCCTGTCCTTTCCAAACTGAAACTGAAACTGACCTACTTAGTGTGTGACCAAATCCATTACAGCATCAAAGAGTTTCTTTACAATAAAACTAATTTACGCACACAAATCGAGTTGCTTTTATGAGAATATACACACCATATTATTATGCTAAAACTATAAATACCAAACCGAAAGGAAGACATATAGCACCCCAGACAACCGAACTAGGTGAAAGAAGTTGCAAATATATTTTGGTGTTTATGAAGTATGGTAGGTTTGGTTACGTGGTGTCATGAAGTGAAGGTAATCTGAGTGAGCCTGAACTACAAGAGGACGCAAAAACGCGTTGACCGTATGAGAAGAAAGAGATCGCGAGATATACACGAAATATGAAATTGGAGAGATCACATTAATCATCGGTCGTAAAGGTAAGGCTGAACTGAAGTGGTGAGTTTTATTTCACAGTGGTGATGGTGGTAGTAGTGACAAGGTGCGAGACGTAAATTACAGCTGTTCTATTTCCACCTGGAGGCGGACAGCAAGCCATGAGTCTGTACGTGACCAGTGAACCTATAATTAACAATCGACAAACTTGATCGCTTCAGAATCAACTTTCTTGCAAGAAATGTGTGTAATTTGCAGAATATTTAAACTTTAAGTGGAGATTCGAAATCGTAAAACCATCCGCAACAAACCTATATACACACCGCACCAAGTCAAGCAAGCGCCAAAATCTGGTGCACAATGTCTAGGAGCAAAGATATATGGTTGAGTAACCCATGTTACTGTTCACCGACTGCATAACTATAAATATTTGACTTCTGTTTGGCTTTATTAACAAAACCTGTGGATAACGTCCGTTCTGTTCGAGGACCAGAGAAATTCGCATATAAATAAGGAAAACCAATCTCCTGACATTGATTTTGTTTTTCAAAATTCCTAAGAATATGCTCTCAGACTATCACTCATAAATGGAAGGGAAAGAGAACTATTGATGTGATCAAAATTTTTTATTTCGTCGAGGTAAACTACCATTACACCAGAACTTAACCTATTGTAAAATAGTGAAAATAGGTTAGGACGTGTAGTTGTAAATAAATCCCCAAAATCAATAGTCCTGTAAGTGTTCAACATTGAATGCTGACCAAGTTAGTTTTGATGGACTCATTTAGCTGAAAGCGCCCAGTCATGAAACCACACCAGATCACGTTTTGGAACGGCGTGCGCAACATCTCTTGCGATCACTAGCCAGATTAGATCAGTCACTCCCAACATATTGATAACCCATCAAATATATCTTCCATCCTCCTCTTTTATGACTTGATTTTACTGGGTGGGCGCGATTCAACTATAGGTGTTACTGGTAAGGTGTTCTCAAATTACAATACCTGTGGTATCTTCAGACGTCTCGACTTGCATGTCAAATGTTACATATATATTGTGCAATATTCCGAACATATTTTCATCCTGGTTACGAAGTACTCCACAAATTGTTTGCAACATTTAGGACTTATTTGCATAAAGTGAACCATATGGTTTTGTATGGTTCTAAGATTCCATCTGGAGCCTGAACATAGCTACTGGCAATCCCACGCCAGAGTAAAGTAGGAGTGTTGGAAATTGTGTTACATTACCCCTTCCTAAAAAGCCGAAGAATCTTTGCACTGTTAGTAAACACAGCACTATAGAGTCGGATTCACACACTCTGCAAGAAATGGTCAGCTGGTTCAGGATGGATCTCGCGAGCTATTTAAAAAGGACAGTGGTATTTTTCCTCGTTGAGTAAATTCTATTGTTTTGATCGTTATTAACGTATCAAGACTACTGTTTTTATACTTTGATTGAATTTCTTTCAGTTAAAGTATTCTATTAGAGTATCATCTTTGGTATCCTAAATAGTTTTACCGTCGGTACTACAGAGTACCTTTTTTTCCATTGTGTCTGTTAGTACTTTGGTCCTAACTGTTTATAGTTTTTTTTTCTACTTATAGTCAACACTCACTTTCGCATCCTAAAATGACTGGAAGATGCAACAAAAGCATTTGCCACCGCCCAGGATGTCGATATCCTGTTGATAGCGGCATGCAGTGCGATGAGTGCAAAGGTTGGTACCACGATGTTTGCACGAATCTAACACCCGCAGCTTTCAAGCGGTTTAGTAAAAATGGGTGTGTATGGCTATGTCAACAGTGCTGTTTGGATGCAAATAGCCTGCTAACCGAGGCCATTTCAATAGTAAATGCCACAAAAAAGTGTCTCGGCAAGCGCGGTCGGGATACATCAGTCAGAACTCAATCTGTCGACACGCAGATTGACACAAGGCAGGCCCAAGTGAGTCCAAAAACTGCCGACCCACACCCTACTAAGGAGGAAGAACATCCTCCAAAGAGGACTGTTACAACCAGAAACTCGCGCAAAAAGTCTCTTCTGTCCCTCGTATCAAAAATGGTACCCAGAAGGGAACTTCAGGAAGCCGAAACCGCAAGGCTCGATCGGTTTCCAGCGCGAAAGATGACCCGATCTCCCAAGTCGTCCTGACTGTTCCGGAATCCCACAGTACGCCTGACGCGAATGTGGTTACCACTCCAAAGAACGTTGGCGATTGGGTACGGGTCGTAAGGAAAAAACGCCAAAATGACGTAAAAGGAAATCATACCCCCACCAAAAGGGTCGACGAGCCGAGGTCTGATCACAGCGACATATCAGTCATTCTCCATAGAGTCAAGGAGAGTGACAACTTAGAACCGAAAGCTCGTTTTGAGCATGACATTGTGTTGATAAAACAACTACTCAACCAAGTTACGCCCAAAAACATCCCCGGAGTCACCTTGCTAAAGGTGTATAGACTACGAAATCTAGCGCATCTGAAACCAAATCAGTCTAGACTACTCAAAGTCGTTTTCAAATCCTCAAACGAACGCGACCTAATCTTAGAAAATGGACACAAATTAAAGGGTTCAGGAGTTTTTCTCCGTAAGGACTTACCGTTGGCGGACCGTGTTAAAAGACGGGAAGCCGAAAAGGAACTACAGCTCAGATTAGACGCTGGCGAAAAAGACCTGAAAATTGTAAATTTTCGGGTTGTGAGGCTTCGACAGAGGATGATGCCGAAGCCACTCTGGGTGAAGCACGAGGCCACCTAAATAGGCTTCGGATCTGTTATACCAACGCCCGGAGCTTACTAAATAAGCTACCGGAACTAGGTGTACAGATTGACTCAACTAGGCCAGACATAATCGCAGTCACAGAAACATGGCTGACGCCGTCTATAGATAGTAGGGAACTTGATTTCGAGGGTTTTACATTGGTAAGGGCCGATAGAATACAAACGCGTAAAAGAGGGGGAGTAGCTCTATTCATTAGGAATGCTATTCCATTCACCATTATCGACAGTGTATCCCATGAGAGTGGGACGTATGAATTAGTTTGCTGCCGCCTGAAATGCAGGGGACAAGAGTTGCTACTTAGTTTGATCTATCGCAGTCCAAGCTGTGAGGCAAACGAGGTCCTGCTAAGCAGTCTCAACACTTTATCACGAAGTGATCGATGTCTAATCCTAGGGGACTTCAATGCACCCATGGTGGACTGGGGAAATCTGCGGACTGAATCGTCAGCAAACTCCTTCGAACAGGAACTAGTTGATGCGATAATCGCATGTGCTCTAGTGCAACACGTGAAGGAAGCAACTAGGTACGACCCGGGTTCTGCATCATCCTTACTAGATCTTATATTGACTCATTATGAGGATGATGTTGCAAACCTGGATTACATGCCACCCCTAGGCAAAAGTGATCATGCAGTTTTAAGCTTTGACTTCCATATAACTGTCGATCACGAGTACGCTTCAGCTCAATCCAGACCTAACGTCTGGAAAGCAAACATAGCAGACATCATGAAATCAGCATCATTAGTAGATTGGAAATTAGATCCAGAGTCATCAATCGAAACGGCTTGGGACGTATTCCGGAATTTATACTTAAAAGTTACCACCCCCACATCCCTTGGACTACACCTAAGAGACCGAGAAACTCCCCACCGTGGTTCAGTAGGGAGGTTCGCATCCTTCTCCGTAAAAGAAGGAAAATGTGGGACAGATTTAGGTTACTGGGGACTGACGAAGCGAAATCTCAGTATCAAAAGGCTCGAAATACCTGTGCCTCGACCCTCCGTAAGGCCAGAAAGCTGTACGAAGAGAAAATCGTTAGGGAATCCATAGAATGCCCTAAACGCTTGTATTCGTATATAAACCAAAGGACAAAAAGAAGAAGAAATGTTCCTTCATTATGGGGAGACAGTACTGCCACATCACTAGTGGAGGATGACTTTGGCAAAGCTCAAGTATTCTCTAAATACTTTAGCGATGTATACACCATAGAAACACCCTTCTCACCAGTCCATGAAAATCCACCCACACAAGCACTGGACAGCGTAACCATTAAAGAACTCGATGTCTTTGGTCTGCTAGTTAAGCTTGACATAGGTAAATCCACTGGACCCGATGAACTGCATCCTAGGTTATTAAAGGAATTAGCTAACTTTGTTGCGAACCCTTTAAGTGTATGTTTTAATCTATCCGTAACCCAGGGTCGTCTACCAAAAGACTGGAAGAACGCCATAGTAAGTCCAGTCTTCAAAACAGGTACAAAACATAAGCCTGAGAATTACCGACCAATTAGCCTAACTAGTGTGGTTGTTAAAATCTTAGAAAAGATTATTCGGAAGGAACTGTTAAAGTATCTCGATGAAAACCGGATCCTCTCCGAAAAGCAGCATGGTTTTAGAACAGGTTACTCTTGTCTCACAAACTTGTTAGTCGCTCGTGAAAGCTGGTGCGCTCCTAAGGACCAAAAATTACCTATAGACGTAGCTTACATCGATTTCAGCAAAGCTTTCGACAAAGTTCCGCATAACCGGCTGTTATATAAGCTAAGGAATGTCGGGATTGGAGGCAATCTATTGATGTGGATAAAAGACTTCCTAGTTGGGCGTCAACAAAGAGTAAGGGTGAACTCCAAGTTGTCTAGCTGAGAAACTGTGCTTAGTGGAGTCCCCCAGGGTACAGTTTTGGGGCCAGTGTTATTCCTCCTGTACGTAAATGATCTCCCTCGTCTACTATCGTCATCGGTCTTACTCTATGCAGATGATGTCAAGATATGGAGAGCGATACAAAGCAAGGGCGATAGCTTAGAACTTCAAAATGACCTGGAGAGATTATCTGAATGGTCCCAAACCTGGCAATTGCCGATAAACACTTCCAAGTGTATTGTGGTGCATATTGGCCATCAGGGTACAGATACATACACGATGAATAACACTGAGTTACCTATTGTTCAGGCACACAACGACTTAGGCGTCATCGTCAGTCAAGACTTAAAGACTGCTGCACACTGCCATGCAATAGCCGCCAAAGGTTTTAAAACTTTATGGTCCATACGCAGGGCTTTTAGGCATCTCGACGCTAAAACGTTTTTGACTTTGTATACAGTGTTCGTACGCCCTAAACTTGAGTACTGTATACAAGCAGCTAACCCCTGCCTAAAAAAAGACAGTGAACTCTTGAAAAGGGTTCAGAGAACAGCAACTAGGCTGATTCCCGGAATAGCGAAGCTCCCGTATGGTACTAGACTGACCAAGCTAAACCTATTCCCGCTGTCATATAGAAGAATCAGAGGTGACTTGATTATAGTTTTCAAATTGCTAAATGACAAATTTGCACCTGATATGCCCTCATTTTTCTTGTCTTCCAAAACAGAAAATCTACGAGGACACTCCAAAAAA